ATTTGTGGGTTTGCTGTGTTACGAAACAAAAAGAAAACATGAGATTATAGAGATGAATGGCAAATTACCATAGGACAAGGAAGGAAAAATAATATAAGAACAAAAGAAGAGAAGAATTTAGGATTTGGAAGAAATTATCATATATACATTGTTATTTTCAATCATCAAGAAGCTGTGCCCAATATTTAACATGCAGCCTATCAGGTTCAGTCATAAAAGCTAAAGGAAAAAGATAGAGTTACCAAAAAGTTTACACCGAATTTGTGCACCGAATGACGTGGCAAAATCCTGACCATTGATTAATATTAACTAATAATAAATCAACGGTCAGAATTTTGCTACGTCTTTCAGTGCACAAATTCGGTGCGCACCCGTCGGTAACTGTAGCATTACTCAAAGCTAAATATGAGATCCTTACAAATGTCCCACGTTTTGATGGTATCATAATTAAACAATTTCCATGATAAGACTAGAGGTGGAACATTTGACCCGCCTAACCCGGCCCGTAAAAATGCGGGTTAAACCCGAACTGCCAAGATGGCGGTCCGGGTTGACCCTAACCCGACAGCAACCCCCGAGCGGGCCGGGTTGCACAATGGCAACCCGCAACCCGACGGGTTGCTGTTTTGTCTCTTTTGCAAGAGACCCGGCAACCTACCGGGTTGCAACAGCAAACTCGGTGGGTTGTAACGGCTAACTCGCCCGGTTGGCCAAAAAAAATAAAAAATTTTATTTTATTTTTCAAATTACCCCTTTACCCTTGAAATATAGCCGTTTTATAGCCGTTTGAAGGGTCTTTTTCGTCATTTTTCTTTCCCATTTTTTCCTATAAATTGGCCCTAAACTCTCACATTTTTCTCACAACTCAAATTCTCTCATTCTCTCATATCCTCTAATCTCTAATNACCAGTCCTCGTGGGAACGATATCCTACCCATCACTTTATTACTTAAGCGACTAGTGCACTTGCTAGTTTTGCATGTTATAATAAACATGCATCATCTATGCCCTAGAGTTTAGCCATATTGATTTTTATACCAAAGTTATTCTAAAATTCTAATTTCGTTTAGATTTTAATGTATTTTCTTTTTCATTAAAGTCATTCATAAAATTATGTTTCATCAAATAGCAATAAAATAGACTAGTTTGGTACTTGGTAAGCAGTTCTCTTGAGATTTGACACTCATTTACTCGAGCTTTATTACTTGCACGATTTCGTACACTTGCGAATAGCCTATCAGTAATTGATAAAACAGAGCATCAAGAAAAGCCTGAAACAGAAATCCTCAAAAATTAGATGTTTCTTCAAATTTCTTAAAATTGAACAGTGAAATTGCAAGTACACTTGCCTTCTTGTAATATGATATGTTCCCAATGGAAGAGACAATCTGAGCAATCCTATGAACAGCCGAGATTGTTGTTCTATGAATAACAGTATTATTTGAAATATTCTCTAGCAAACCAGATATCATATCAAGAATGGATCCCGCATCGCCCAGTACAAACAGTTGCATATATGGCATGCCTGCATATATATTTTTAACTCCACTTAAAAAAATAAAAACATAAACAATCACAAACCTTCTTCGAGAGCTATGAAATGCAATTTTCTGAGGCATATTGAAGATCGGCATTCCATTTAGCCATATCATCCACAACATTAGATAATTCAGCTGCATTTTGCTGGCATTTTCATAACTGTTTAATCAAGTCAGTTATTGCACCAATGATAGCAACAAAGGCTTGCAGCTTTGCATTTTGTGTGAGTTGTGTGGCAACGTCAACAGTATGAATCTGTATACATGTTGTTTAGCAACATTCTTATGATCCAAGTGCTTGATCAAGACAGATAGCAACAGGTGGGAGTTTCCTCCTGGAGATTGAACAAAAAAAAAAGTTCATATCAATTATATCCACAGAAAAACTAATAAAAAAATAATTGCAACAAGATGGAGCATTAAGATTCCATATGTAACCTGATTCCTCCAAACGCGATTGCAAGTACAATATAACAGAACAGGCAACTCCCTTATCTGATGACCAATGATTTTCTACATCAAAATGATGGAAAAGGGGTTCAAGCACACGCCTCACTATTGTAGCTTCCTTAGCCAACCTGGCTATATTATTCAAGCAAACTTTGGACCAGTAAGAGGGACTCTTGGAAGAGTCATTGTAAAATTTGCATATAAAGCTAAGAATGTTAACTACATTTAAGAAATCTCCTTATATAAATAATATATACCCAAGAAGTAAAAAATAATGCCTTACGTTGTTGAATACAAATTAGGATTACTCACAGGGTTCCGGAGAGAAGAAACCGTCTTACTCATATCTGGAAAAGATAAGCCATGAGATTCTTCTTTAAGCACCCCTTGAACCCATTAGTCCTAAGATTGAGAATGTTGCCTCGCTTCCTTACCATCCTCGGGTTTCATTTGAAGATCGAGGTAGTTCTCCAAAGTCACTATCTCTACATTTGAACCAAAAAAATATTAAGTTTGTCAATAGAATATGTTGGAGTAATGAGAAAAGAATTTAATAATTATCTATTCATGTATTAAAGGCCAAATGATAAAATCAACTCAACATCTTCTAAGTCTAATAAAGGGGCCTGTTGACAAGTAGAAGAAGTGATAGACAATGTGGTCCAGAAAGGTAATGCAGAGAACCAGCTTGCTACTGGAAGCAGATTTCATGTTCAATCACTGTGTCCCGCAAGCAGGAAAGAGTGATGCCACACCCACATTCTTAAACAAGGAATGCAAGTCCAAAGGCAAAAATTATTCTTATTCACAAAAAGGTTAGCTTGTCTTGTTTTAGTTGGATTTTAATTAAAATTAATTAGGTCTTTATTATCTCCCATGTAAGGACTACAGGTGTAGGACTTGGATCAAATCTTCTCTCCTGACTTCTATTCCTCCCCTTTCTTTTTCTCTTTCACGATCCTCATACGTTCCTTATTGTAACACTAGAGGGTTTATGTGGACAGTTTGTCCTTGGTATTAGGAAAATTTGTTCATTCTCTTGCAAAATCTCCTATACATAATTCAACTATGCTTTGTTTCGTAGCATATAACAAAAGATCATTTATAAAACAGAAAAGAAGCAATTACCACACAAGTAACCTACAATAGCAAGTCACAGAAAGCAATAAAAGTTCCTCTACTTTTTATATAACGGAACTGGAAAACTGTTGTCAGATGATTTCTTTAGGTTTTGGCCTTTTTATTGGTAGTAATGGATTGGAAAACTTGACTATACATGGCCATTCTCTTAACTTTACTGTTTTTCACACCATGATCTGAAAAAGAAAAAAGAAAAAAAAAAAAAAAGTAATGGCAAGAGGAGTGCATCACTATAAAATTAAAAATTAAAAAAAAAAAGCAAAAAAAATAAACTCAAGCAATTATTTCATTTCACGCATAAACATCCTGACAAAGGTAAAAATTCTAGAAAATAAACGATTATTCATTTTCTCATATAACAAATAGATAACCAGGCATGAGAACCAATTCTGGCTCTAAATTAAAAAGACGAATTCAACTAGTAATGATCACAGTGGTCGAGAAAGGAGAAATAAGTAAAATAAAAAAAAAAAAAAAATTCTTTTAAGAATATATCCACGACTTTAAATTGCCTAGGTCCATAAAAATTCAATTAAAATTCATTTTAACCCAATCAATTATGGCCAAATAAATGAAAAATACACCAAGCGGAAAATATAACTGCGATAAAGTATAATAACTAGATATGTGGGAAGCGTCATAGTTCATGCATAACTGACTAAGAAGAAAATCAGTAAATAGGTTTGTAGGGGTAATAAGTGTTGGAGATCCCACATCGACTAGACACGCTCAAGCCAATGGGTTTATAAGAGTGGACAATCCTCCCACTTAATGAGGCCTTTTGGGTGAGGAGTTAGGCCCAACTCCAAAAAGTGGTATCAGAGCCAACCCCATTTGAGCTGAGTGATTGACCAGCGGTGGGCTGCCAAACTACCTCCATTCATAGACAAGTGGACCATATGGGCTTGACCGTGAAGGGGAGTGTTGGAGATCCCACATCGACTAGGCACGCTCAAGCCAATGGGTTTATAAGAGTGGGCAATCCTCCCACTCAATAAGGCCTTTTGGGTGAGAAGTTAGATCCAACTCCAACAAGAATAAGTCTTAACAAATACCAACTTGCAGCACAAGGGCCTTAATAACTACCTTGTCATGCAGAAAAAGGATGTGCAATGCACATTTGGACCACCATAAATCTTATATAAGTAACAAAACACTAGATAAATTTTTCAAGCAAAAGCTATTCAGCATCATTCTAGTTGTGCATCTTATTCCCCCATTTTGTCACAAGTTGCATCCTTATGAAATAAAATATAAAGTAGAAATTTACAGTTTCCAGAACTCTGTGCCCCCAATTGTGGCATTGATTCAGAGATTTTATATCAAAACAATGCATTTTGACGCTATTATCTTCTAAGATATAATAAAATCTCTGGTAGCAAAAGATCTGCATTAATATGACATAAGTTTTTTTTTTTTTTAATTTCTAGTTATTTTAACCAAAGGCATAGTTTTAAATATTGGATGGATGAGAGATTTTTGTGTAATCTTTGTTTGATGTTGATTCGAAATTTGTTGATGATATTTGACTGAAGATTGTTGTACGGTAAAAATTTCGTAAACTGTCAAAACTGAACCAATCTGACCCAATTTTCTCAGTTCGGTTTCAATTGAAGAAGGCTCCGGTACAGTTGGGTGTTTGAAGGAAAAAAAAAATTCAATCGGCTTCGGTTCCATTCAGACCAAAAACCAATATGTAGTGGCTTTATGCAAGTACAAAGCTAAATTAATATGCTCACCCAGAGAAATTTGGAAAAATAAATCCTGTGTTGATATCAAAATCATTAAAAACAAACTCCAAATAAAATTTATGCAGATAGCAAATATTAAGGCAAATGAAGAACTTAATACAGTCAATGTAAATAAGATGTACCTGAAGAACGTTGTCTGCATGTTTTGAAATTTTGATGCAATTGTTTTGCATGACTTCTGCTCCAGCAATGCCTGCAACAATGACAACAACGTTAAAGCAAGGAAGGAAATGGGAGAAAGGAAATAGAAGAAATGATTTAGAGAGGACATAAAACTCACTTCTCCAACTTTATCAGAAGATCTTGATGAAATAAATTCCGATCCAGAAGCAAATAATGGTGACAGAGCATCTAAATCTCCCTCTTCAAAGACAGATAGATTCAACAAGGACATCATTGTTAGGATGCAGTCTTTAACTAAAAAATCAAGCCCAACAACATAACTTAATGAGAGCAAGCCTGAAAAATGCAAAAACATCCATTTGGATTCTTTATGCCTTATCGGGTGAGTTTTCATCACATCAAACACAAACTTCTGAATTGGTAGACAGATATTGAATTGCCGAAAACAATCAACAATATGCACTACGGATTCATATTTCTTACATGACAGAACATCCTGCAAAGTTTTCAGACAACCTGAATTGCTGATGTGCCTCAAGCACCAAATTGCTTGCAACATCGAACTACTCATTAACTTCAATATAGAAGCCAGGAGACATATATCTTGGGGACTTTTGACCTCAATACACCACAAAGGATCACGCATATTATCAGAAGAGCATCTATGTACAATGGAAGTTAATATTGACAACATTTTATCTTTGTATGATTTATCAAAAGCATTTAGGCTCTCCCTTATATATGCAATAGAGGCATCCATCAGGTCGGATTTTGTTCTATGAGCTGTATTGTTTACGTAACAATCCAAAGATTCGTTAAGCTTTGTAACTAGATGATCAATTTTGTCCTTTGTAGCTGGCTGAAGATAAGATTCAAAAGCCAGTTGACTACTTCCAAACATACACGATTTGACACTTTAACTGTTACTACCTATAGGAAGGTCATCCATATGCAAGTTGGAAAAGTGGCTTTTGTACAAGATAATGGACCTCTCCAATGCTGTTAGGTAGCAATCCATGATTGCAAGATCTGGATTTAAATACTCAGAACGTATGCAAACACCAATTGCTTCAGAGAACAATAAAATCAAATATGGCTGAAACATTTTAGGTGCAGAATGCATGATAGGGTTAAGAAGCAACGATAAAGATACAATCAGGCTCATCTCGGGAGTCCTAAAATCTTTGCCAGGCTGCCAAAATAAACTGTTGACGAAACATTCAAATGATTTGTCACCAGAAATCGACAGAATAAAATATGCAGTAATCACCTCCATCACAGTCCCAATATCATCATGACCAAAATGGCACATGAATAGCATTTCACTTGTGGAAGACGCAGAATCAATTAGCAAAAAGTACTCCCTCAATGACTTATGCATTATATATACAGTGCCAGGAAACACAGCTGCAAACTGGTTTCACACTTTCTGCAACTTCTCCTCCCCAATGATCCATCTTGACAACCTACTCGGATCTTCAGCAAACAATTTACATGATGTCGGGATGATCCGAAGATCAGCACCAATTTGATCCCACTCCCTGAGGACTGCTTCCATCTCTGCTTCGACAACATCTTTGTCAAGTCTATTCATTTCTACAACATGAGAATAGTGCATCTCCCTCTGATGATCATTTTGGAAGGGTTCCATCGCTGGGCCCTGCAATTCCAAGAGTTGACTATAAGAGCTTGTTTCCAGTACATGCCCATATGCATCAATTATGAAAATGATTAGAGCTAGCCATATTTCATTTTCCCTCAAAGAACATGAAAACATTACCTGGCATAGTTCAGTATAATGTTTATATATCTCACTGCCTTCATCTTGATCACCGAGCAGTGTTCCACCATACCAACCATTGGCTTCATCAGCAAAGATCATTGTGAGATACCTAGATAACCACAAGACAATAAATAAAGTTACAAACAAAAATGAAAAGAGATGAGAAAATCAGTCACAGAAATGAACACTAAACATTCCCATTTTAAAGTGCCATCGCCATTCTGAATTTGGTATTTGTATTTGTGTAAAAACTCTAAACCTTCGGTGATTTCTCAAAAGAACAAATAACCCTTTAGTTTATCAAAAAAAAATAAAAGACCCCTGACATAAGTCTAATTATACATGACAGACACGTAACACACATAGACTAGTGAAATCCCGTATTTTCTTTTGATTTTTAAGAGCTTTCATTAAACGGCCAAAAACTTGAGACCCCCAGTCTTCCTCAATACAAATAACCCTATACTTTTTAGGTGAAATTATCCAAATGTAATAATTAAATTTACAAAAATAGAGGGACCACTTATAAATTAAGCTCCGTAGTTAGGCCGGGCAATGTGGCAGTATGAGTGAAGAAACTTGGTGAAAACTAGCAACCTATCCATTTATAATCGAGAAAAAGCTCATTTGTAATTTCTATATGATTCAAAGTTTCAAAGAATTAATCAAATTTTTTTTTTTATTATTATTATTTTTTTTATTTTTTTTGCTTTTAAAAAAACATAGTAATTCAGCATGAACGACTTCATCTAGAAAAAAATTCAATCTGACCCTTCAACTTAAATTTACCTTTAAAACAATATTTTATCTATTCCATCAAAATCATATTAATATAGGTGCACGGGATGAAATAAATTAAACTTTTATGAATTCTTCCAAGGTTTGTTCTGACATATTCTAAGAACATAAGATAAAAAAAAGTTTACCAACGTATTTTTACACTCAAAAATAATTTTAAAAAAGATAACATAAGCAAGAGTTATCCGTATTTTCAATATATCTCATGGAGTTTAAAATTATCTATTTTTTATCTTATTTTATCTGATCTTTTGCATCATCAATTACCATTTTAGCCTACAACTGCTCAACTGTAACGGAAATTTCATTAGCATTTGATTAACTTCTTTTTTTTTTGCCTTCAGAAAAAAAGGTGGAGGTTATTTGTATTTTCAGGGAATGACATGGGATTTAGAGTTATTATACTTTCGTAGACAATTGATAACAGATGATGTTAAGTGAATTCTAGAGTGAAACTTTTAAGTAACATTTTAATGTGTTTAAGATTATAAATCCAGATAACCTACACATGTATAAAATGTTCTTGTATCTAAGATTTAATGGTGGTCATCTCCAACAGATTGTGTTTGAATTAAAACATAACAGCCGTGTCTGAATCAACATACAACAACACTAATCAATAAATCTAGGGCTACCTACATATCTAAAAAGGATGAAAATTTCTAAAACCCTCAACGTTAATTGAACAAATTAAAGTCAAAATCCCATTCCAACTTCACAAATAAACTGATAGTTGCGTATAGAATCATGTCAAAGATACTCCAAGCATGCATATTTGCTACATAATGTATACTGTAGCCAGCCAGGTTTCACCTAAATCATACCAATAACTACATGGCCCATAAGAAGAGTAGAAAATACATGCATTGTCACCTTTGGCTTTCGCTCTGTAAATAAACGTGCTAAGGATGAATATTCACACACACTTCTCATTCATAGCTTAAAAGGATACATATTTATATACACTTGTAGTGTTCTAAACTAGGTAGGTGATCAATCTCTATTAGGATACAAGTGATCCCTTAATCCAGGATTTTAATGTGATCCCTATAATCTAGGAAGTTATATACATCTATAACACCCCCCCTCAAGCTGGAGTATAGATATCAATCATACGCAGCTTGTTACAAAGATAATCAACTCGAATCCCAGTTAGAGCCTTTGTGAAGATATCTCCCAATTGTTCTCCAGTCTTCACGTACCCAGTGGAAATCAGACCTTGTTGTAGTTTCTCACGGACGAAATGGCAATCGATCTCAATGTGTTTTGTTCGTTCATTGAACACTGGATTAGATGCAATATGAAGAGCCGCTTGGTTATCACACCATAATTTCACTAGTACTGAAGTTTCAAGGCCTATTTCAGTCAGGAACTGATATATCCATATTATTTCACAAACAGCTTGTGTCATAGCTCTATATTCCGACTCTGCACTTGATCGTGACACGAAATTCTGCTTCTTGCTCTTCCATTATATTCAATTTCCTCCGACAAAGACACAATAGCCTGATATGGATCTTCTGTCTACCTTGGAACTTGCCCAATCTGCATCTGAGAAACATTCAATATGAGAGTGACTATGATTGGCAAATAATATACTATGTCCAGGGGCTCTTTTCAAATAACACAAGATCTGCTCCAAAGCCGCCCAATGATGAACTGTTGGGGAGGCCATAAACTAACTGACAACACTTACTGAATATGCAATATCTAGACGAGTCACCGTAAGATAGTTCAACTTCCCAACCAATCTTCTATATTTTTCAGGTTCTCCAAATAGTTTACCATCTTTCGTAAGCTACATATTAGGAACCATCGGAACACTACATAGCTTTGCCCCCAATTTCCCTGTCTCAGTTAATAAGTCGAGCACATATTTCTTCTGAGAAAAGAGTATACCTCGTTTGCTCCTTGTAACTCTAACCCCCAAGAAATACTTCAATATCCCTAAGTCTTTTGTGTGGAACTGGGTATGGAGAAAAAACTTAAGAGATATGATGCCCACACTATCACTCCCAGTAATAACAATATCATCCACATGCACAACTAGAAGAATGATACCAGTTTCAAACCGTTTGTAGAAAACAGAATGGTCAGTTTTACATTTCGGCATACCAAATCTCTCAACAGCCTGACTAAACTTTCCAAACCAAGCACGAAGACTCTGTTTTAAACCATACAGAGATTTGCGAAGATAACATACTTTCTCATACTCCCCTTGAGCAACAAACCCAGGAGGTTGCTCCATATATACCTCTTCCTGAAGATCGTCGTGAAGAAAAGCATTCTTGATGTCTAGCTGATGCAAAGGTCAATCATAAGTAGCTGTCATAGAGATAAACAGCCGAATAGAGGTGAACTTAGCCACAGGGGACAAAGTATCAAAATAATCAACTCCATAGATCTGAGCATATCCTTTAGCAACCAGACGAGCTTTTAGTCGAGCAACTGATCCATCTGGATTAACTTTAACTGTAAACACCTATTTGCATCCAATTGCATGTTTCCCTTAAGGTAAATCTACCAATTTCCAAGTACCATTGTCATCTAAGGCATTCATTTCCTCTATCAGTGCATTACGCCAACCAGTATGAGAAAGGGCTTCATGAACAGTTTTAGGGATAGTAATAGAATCAAGGGAAGCAATAAAGGAGCATGATGAATGTGACAAATGATCATAAGAAACACAAGAAGAAACAGGATAAGTACACTGTCATTTACCTTTTCGCAATAGGAAGATCATCACTTGAAACTGGATCGAATGACGAAGAAGTTGGTGCCGGACATGAAACAAGAAGAGGTGGACGATGAGAGTAGACTTTGACAGGAGCAGGATTAGAGATAGGAGCCGATGCAGGAAGCTTAGGAATAGTGACAAGGTCAAAGACAAGAGCTGGTTCAGATATCGGTGTAGGGAAAGTGAAGGTATAAACTAACAAATCATCATTATCATCATCCTTCTGACGATCTACAGGAGAAGAGGGAAAGTATGGTGTTTCTTCTAAAAAGGCAACATCAATGGAAACAAGATACTTATTAAGACTTGGACAATAACACCGATATCCTTTCTGAAGTCGAGAATAACCAAGAAAGACACATTTTAATGACTTGGGATCTAATTTAGTGACTGATGGTTGAACATCCCGAACAAAGCAAGTGCTACCAAATACCCTAGGTTCAAGAGAAAATAATGCTTTGTTAGGAAAAAGAATACTGCACGAGGTCTCACCATGAAGGACAGAAGATGGCATGCGGCTAATCAAAAAGCAGGCGATGGAAACTGCATCAGCCTAGAATGGTTTAGGAACATTCATTTGGAATAATAAGGCTCTGGCAGTTTCAAGAAGATGTCTGTTTTTCCGTTCTGCTATTCCGTTTTGAGATGGAGTATCAACACATGAAGTTTGATAAGAATGCCATTCTGAGTCATGTAACTTTGAAAAGAAACTGACATATATTCTTTTGCATTATCACTACGCAGTGTATGAACAGAAACATTGAATTGAGTTTTAATCTCAGTACAAAAAGCACAAAAATAAGAAAACAAATCAGAACGATTTTTCATTAAGAATAACCAAGTCATACGAGAGTAATCGTCCACAAATGTAACAAAATATCTAAAACCAGTTTTAAACAGAACTGGACAGGGACCCCAAACATCAGAGTGAACTAATTCAAAGGGAGAATTAACTCTTTTATTGACTCTAGGACTAGAACTGACACGATCATGTTTAGCAAACTGACACAACTCACACTCTAATGTAGACACTTTATTAAACTAAGGACACAATCTCTTCAGTGAAGGAAGAGATGGATGGCCCAAACGACAATGTGCTTGAAACGAGGATGCAACGCTAGAACAAGCGACAGGTGTAGATTTTGGTCTGTCGAGAATATATAAACCTTCAGATTCATGTCCTTTACCAATAATCTTCTTCGTCATAATATCCTGAAATAAGCAATAATCAGAAAAGAATAAAACACAACAGGTAAGAGCACGAGTAAGTTGGCTAACAAAAATCAAATTGAAAGAAAAATCTAGTAAATGTAAGGCATTTGACAAGGGAAGCTATGGAGTAGGGGTAACTATGCCAGACCTAAGAACGTAGGATGGTGACCCATCTGCTAAAGTCACATTCGAAAGGGTTTTTGATTGATAAGTAGCAAAGAGACTGGGATTACCTGACATGTGATCTGTTGCACCAGAGTCAATGACGAATTTGGAGGATGAGGAAAAGAGACATGTATGTGGCTTACCTAAGTCAGCCATAGCCGTGACAGGAGTATGTGAAGCTTTTAATAATTCCTGGTACAATGAAAACTTGGCAAATTCATCTGCAGAGATAAGAACTGACTGATCCGAATTATCATTTTTGGATGCAACATGGGCAGAGGGATTTCTTTTATTTCTGTTCTGAAGCTTTCTACAATCACGCTTCATGTGTCCTGGCTTATGGCAATAGTGACACACAATTCCTCCCATATTACTATTTGACCCTCCTCCTCTGTTGCCACTTCCAAATTGTGATCGCCCAACTTCATAGTCATTCTTTTGATTGACAAGAGCACCACTAAATTGAACCGGTGGGGTACCTTCTGTGCGAAGTACCCTACTAAAGACATCCTGCAACAAAGAGATCTCTGGACTGGCTAGAACCTGAGACTTAGCAGTCTCAAATTCAGAAGGAAGACCTGCAAGAAAACTCATGACTGCCATTTACTCCCGTTGTTTTTATTGAACTTTGGCATCAGCACTGAAGGGTAACAACATGTTCAACACTTCATAAGTCTTCTTAAACTCCATAAAATAAGAAGTAAGAGACTTATCTTGTTTCTCTGCATGGTAGAATGCCTTACACACTTCATAAATATGAGAAACATTCCCTTTTCCAGAATACAAAAACTCCAAATAATCCATCAGTTCTTTAATAAACTCACAATGATTAATTAGGCCAAGTACCTCACCGTCAATAGAGTTCTGTATTTGTAGAATCAACCGAGCATCATCCTGGAGCCATGTCTTTTTCGAATCATCCTCAAGTGGATCATCAGTCATATGATCATCTTTATCAATACTCCGCAAATACAGTATAATAGTTTTACTCCAATCATGGTAATTAGTTATACCAATGAGCTTATGTTCTGTAATTTTCGACATCGTTGGTATCATTTCCATTACTAGCTTTCTATCAGACATGTCTTAAACAGACGATAATCCCAATGCACACTAACAAACGGTTAAAACAAAGCGAACTAACCAAATTTCAATGACACACCAAATCAATCAACAGCCCCCACCAACCAGAGGCCACAGCACAACAAAAATCCAATAACCAAACGAAAACAAAGTGCTGAAAGATCACAACTAAATCCTCAGAAATATCCAAACAAAGAACAGTAGTAAACCAGTAAGAGATTACCCAATCCAGCATGAAAATATGCTGTACAAGTACCGACGAAGCAGACGAAGAGAATCGAAAGGGACATCAACGGTGGACACGCTCTCACGCGCCGGCGCATGATACTGTTCACCGGAGTTTCAGGTGGCGTGTGGAGCTCACACGCGGGGATTCTGATGGCCGAAACTCGGGGTTTTGCCGATCGACGGCTTTTGAATCTCCCTAGGGTGGTGGTGTTGAACAAATCTCAACCTAAATAGGTGTTCCCAATTTGAAACCCAAACCCTAATTTCCTAATTTTGAAACTCAAACCCTAATTACCTTTTCAAGGCTCTGATACCATGTAAATAAATATACTAAGGATGAATATTCACACACACTTCTCATTCATAGCTTAAAAAGATACATATTTATATACACTTGTAGTGTTCTAAACTAGGTAGGTGATCAATCTCTATTAGGATACAAGTGATCCCTATAATCCAGGATTTTAATGTAATCCCTATAATCTAGGAAGTTATATACATCTGTAACAGGCTCAAAACAAGCAACTTGAGGGCCAACCTAGCTAGTGACAAACTGAGTTAGGTTAACTAAGCTATAACATTGAGAAACAGCATCGAAGTGTCCTTCTATGCCAAATGGGAATGCTTTAATTATAGAGAAAATTACCTCTGGAAGACACCTTCGTCATTTATGTCATCAACCGAAGAAAGCCAATTCAAGTCACAGAAAGTGTCGGCTCTTATTTCATTATGAACTTCCCGATTTACAATTTCATGTGATGTAACATTGGGAGCAGACACACTTCCTTCAAGCTTTCTCTGGCCGAAGAGCCAATTGGGACTCTTCAACTGTATTTCACTGTATAAGAAACTTGCCTGAGTTAACAAATATAAAATAAATTGCCACACAAATTCTCATATTTGCACTGGCAAGATCAAAGTGTTAAACAAACTAAAAATAAGATAATGAAAATACTTTATGCAAATAACTAAGAGTGATGAATAAAAATGCGGACACAAAACAATGTAAACAAAAGGAGCTTATTTTGCAAGTTATTAAGTTCAAACAAGTACTCTAAGACTAGTGACCAAATGAAGAAACTAAACATGCTTATGAACTTGGTGGAGAGACAAGCCTCTTGATCTAAGGTGATCCACACAGCTACACAACAATACATATAACAAATAAGACTATATTAAAAAGGTAGAAAAACTTGAAATCATAAGCTTAGAGGGAAAGTATGTCCTCAACAGCAGAACAAAAGAGATGGAGGAAGTCATAAACAGGACCAGAAAAACTAAAAGAGTAAACAGATCAACATCTTTTAAGAAATGAGATAGAAATTGTGCACAAATGCAGAATGAGAAAGGGAGGAAGATTCACGCTGCATCAGGTGCCATCACCTGGTCTTTGGTCTGGTGCACTACAAAGTCTTTAACATTTTTTATTGAGCTACGTGTTTTCGCTATCAATTTTTTCAAAGAAAGTCAATTTTAGCCGAGAAAAATCTTCTCTTCATGCCGGAACAGGGGCAAGAATCATCCCCTGTCCTACAGCTTTAACAGTAGCTTCCAAACTGCAAAGTGGATAATTGAAAGAGAAAAAAAACTAAATTCTAATAGGATAACATATCTGCCACTGTGTGCCTAGTTAGTAAATACGGGTACGACAAAAAAAAGGTACGAGAATTTTACAGGTATAATACAACAAACGATGAAAAATACGTTTATAAAAATTCGGCCATGAAATTCAGATACGGGAAAAATACAGTACAAGTATATACGGGCTTAATATGATACATTGTCAATAATACGTTTTGAAAAATACGGCAATATCAATCTTAGTTTTAACACTTTTATGGACTACCTGGTTAAAATCAATATAACATTTCAAATGCAAAGTATTCAATTAACCAATAACACAAATACACAATATATAACTGATATTCAAATTATAGTCTCCAGACTCAAACACAATATTTAGCCAAGATTCAACTATAGTGTCAAAGCAAACACATAAGTCATAACAAAACCAAAATTCAAAGTCGAATTAGAGCTCCAAGCAAATAAAATACACAAATAATACAACAAAGATTCAAATTATAGTTTATAACAAAAACTCACAAAGTACATAAACAACAATAAGTCAATAACAACTCAAAAAAGAGCATCGTCCAACCAAGCAATATCATCATTATCCATTAAGTCATCCATGTAACTCTCAACTCTAGAAGGCTGAGAAGGAGGAGTAGCAACTGTAGAAACTGCACCTCTTGTAGGAAGGTAGGTGTGCATATGAGCCAAGCCAAGCCGAGCAGTGGCTGGCTCGAGCTCGGCTCGTCAAGAGAAGGGGTGAGCTCGAGCTCGTCGAGCTTCGGCTTGTGAGCTCGAGCTCGACTCGGCTCGGCTCATTAAGTTTCGAGCCGAGCCAGGCTGAGCTCGAGCTCGAGCCAAGCTCATTTTCATATTTTTGAATAGGTTGCAGATTTGCAGATTTTTGAATAGCCAAGCTCCGAAATTTAAAAGTAGCTAAAGTTGCAATAAAAGCATTTGAATTGGTTGGAGATTTCTCTTCACAGCGTGTTGTAATGGGAAATTAAGATTAGTTTTCAATTTTTCATAGCATTAAAATTTATTCAGGCAAACCACATAGTTTTGCAACTTAATATAAAATCATGCTACATATCAATTAAAATAGCTGAAGATAATCTTGAGACAAAATAATTTATATGCTTGTCAATATCTGTGTCTTGATCTTAATCAAAGCTTAAACCACTCAATCAACAGTTCTGAAGTAAAAGTAAAAGAACAACAATCAGTTTCAGACTGTAAAAAACTAGACAAAATTCCATCTTCCTTCTGGTGTTATGCCTTTGTGCTAGACAAAATTTTCAGACTATCTTCCTTCATCAAAACCTTTCTTCAACATCCTGTGCACATGTAAAACATCCCCAATCATTGAAATTTGCATACAGCAAACAGATTATATTCAATTTTCAGAAATAGTAACACACTCCTACAAACTAACCATCACAAGGTAAAGAAGCAAATGTCATGTTTATGTGAATAGGAAGTGTTTCTCCACGTTTCAAGTCTACAGATATCTGCCAAACACTGTCAATTCATGCGTATCCTCATGAAGTACATAAACTGACATGTGTGGCTCATGATTTTTACCCGTCTGCTCTTTGTTTTCCAGTTGGAGGTGTCAACAGAACACCAAGTTCTTTCTGCAGCAATTCAATGAATACCTCTATTGAAATTAAAAATGCAACAATATACAATTGCCACAGATGCCAAATGAAGAAGCAAATTTCAACCTTTCCAAACCCAGCATACACATGCATATCCACAGACAACTACAAACATATACTCACAACAATCAAACAATCAAACATATTACCAAGAAGCAAATTTCAACCTTTCCAAACCCAGTATATACTGACTTTCATAGCTCAATACCTCTACAAAATTAAACCCAGTATTTTCACATCTATCTTTGTATATATATATAAACCAAGATCAATATGAGAACCTATCTACGCCAATCTTTGCTGAGCAAAGTAATCTTCACGACCTTAAACATAACATTGTAAAGAAATCTTGAAATTTGCCAGTCAATAGATTTAGAGATTAAAGTAAAGAGAACCTAAAAATGACAGATCTGAAGCCCATAACAGTATGAAAAGTGCTAAAATTGAAAGAAATGTAAAGAAATAAAAGTAGAGAAGGGAACCTTGAAGAAGACAGAGTGAAAACCCAGATCACGAATCCATGTTTGGTGAGTGAAAGGAGAGAGCGGTTTGAGAGAGTTTATAAGAAGATTTTGAGTTGAGTGTATGGGTTTGAGCGAATATACGCCAAAGGAGAGAACGAGCTGTGGTTTAGTTTTGCGACTGCTGTAGGACGACGACTGTTGTGGTTTAGTTTTCATTTTAGGGTAATGGAAATTGGACGCGAGCTCAGATGAACGAACGATCGAGTAACGAGCTGAAAAACTCGATTGACGACGCGAGCTTCAGCAAAGATCGCGAGCAGCTCGAATCGAGCCCCATCTGCTCGACTTATTTTCGCGAGCCTGAACTTGCGCTCGAACTCGTCATCTGCTTGAGGATAGTCGAGTCGATCTTCCACTCATCACGAATCGATCCCGAGTTGCTCGCGAGCAACTCGGGTCGACTACACCCCTATAGGAGGGGCACCTCTTGTAGGAGCGACACCTCTTGTGCGGCTACCATTGATAACAATCCTCAATGGGTTTGTTGGGTTCAATGTTCGCAACATTGACACATTAAACCCTCTTTGATCACCACGAATATTGTTATCATTTCTCTCCACCAACTTTTCTTCCACAGACTCCACATGACCCATCTCCCCTTTCTCCACATCCCTCACTCTCTCTTCTTCTTCTTCATCATAATCTTCATCTTCTTCCTCTTCTTTCTTCCCATTCCCTTCTCTTTCTTCTCTTTCTTCTCCTTCTTCTTTCTTCTGACTCTCTCTCTCTTCCACCTAACACACACAAAAAAAAAAAGAAAAATAATATTCTTGTAAGTTCACAAGCATGTAAATATAATATTAATTAATAAAAACCAAAACTTTACATAAACATGACATGAAGACATGCAAATGAATTAAAAAAAGGAGAGTAGAGTTATTGTTTTCGTTATCTTACAGGAGGGTCATTATCTTACAGGAGGGTCAGCAGCACCCATGGCGGCAGTGATGACGTCAGATAATTTACAAGAAACGACGGCGATGGAGTTGGTGAAGACGTCTAAACTGTTGTTGGATTTGATTTTAGATTGTATTATGATGATGATGTTATGTTACTGCCCAAATGCTTTGTCCCTGTTTTGACTGTTACAACATTATCAATTCTTTTTTATTACCAACACTAAAACGACATCGTTTTGGGGTGACCAATAATGTTTTTTTTTTTTTTTTTTTTTTTTGGGAATAATTCGCGAATTATACGGATATTCATATTATATGCGTATAATTCAACAGCCCTTATAAAATACGTAAATACGCTTTTTATACGCGTATTTACTAACTAGGACTGTGTGTGAGTAAGAAGAGTCAATTAAGCTTATAGCTTGTCCAAAGCAAAGAACAGATACCTACCATTTATCAGGGAATAGGTCATCACCAATCCCAGAAACGTGAAGATAATAATCAGAATCCAATTCCCATAGAGCAGGTTTCCCTTCCTGTGGTTTAAAATAACCCAAAAATCTGGTAAAACCAACAAAACATAATAGTTTCAGAACATAAACAAGCTGACGTAAACTTCAAAACCAATTTAATTTACAGCCAGAGCATTGTAGCACATTTCTATCTTTTCAGAGATAATTACTAAGCCTTTATGGAATAAAACTTTTAAGGATAAGGGAAAAGCAATTTAAGCCTTTATGGAATAAAACTTTTAAGGATAAGGGAAAAGCAATTTAACCTTTATGGATTAAAACTTTTAAGGATAAGGGAAAAGCAATTTAGAAATTTAAAATTAAAAATAAAATATGACAGTAGAAATATACAAATTTATTGCATCTTGCTTTTCACCATCGGTGTCGCTTGATAGACTTAAGAAATTTCTAGATTGGGTAGTAGCTCTCCACCTTCCCTGCCTGGAAAGAAGGATGTATTGTATCCAAAAAAGGACACACACTAGATGTGCAAATTCAATAGCCAATAAATGCATTTAAAATTAGCATGTCAGAGAATCATACAAAATTGTGAGCAGCAAGACACCATATTGTTGTGCAAGAGCATCCCCCATAAGAGCTGGAGCTATGCTGCTATTAGGGTCAACTTTTGGCATGTCTGTCAAACCCATTGCATGAAGCTGGCGGCCCAAAGCAGCAAGCCCATAAGCATACTAGGCACCATCATGGTTGTCTTTTCTATTTTGTTGGCCAAAATCCACATCTCTTCTCAATTAATTGTAGAACTTAAATTCTCACCACTACTTGCAAGCCTTGCAAGGTCCCCTGAGCTGGCACGCAACTCTCTTAGAGAAGCATCTCTGCAAGAAACAGACACAAAAAAAAAACAACGTTAGAATTTTGAAAATCATAATACGTGTCTTGTCTAGGCACCTAATAAAGTTTTACGCTGAGATAGAAAACCAAACACAACCTCAAAGAATAGGCTTCCACAAACCATGTATTTATGCACCTGTTAACAGTTTACATAGTGTCTCCAGAATATTGCCAATAACAGAATAAAAATGTTCACATATTTAAGCACCTGTAACAGTCAACATAGTGTCTCCATATATTCAACTCCGGTTTTGAATTAAAAAAAAAAAAAAAAAAAAAAAAAAAAAAAAAAAAAAGATTCCAAAGTATATATAGCCATCATGTTGTTTAAAGGGAGAGTGCCAATAACAGAAATGAATATGTCGTCCGCATACGATACCTACACTTAATCAACATGCCAATATTATCAGTAGAAGTGAAGAAAAAAGGAATGTGAATATAGAATTTGTAATATTTTGTGAGGAAAGAAAATAATTAATTTTATGGCTTCTATAAAAGAATTTAATGTATTCTCAGAGGAAGTACTCAGTCAAAACTTCAAAGTGCTAAGTTGCTTCTCCCAGATTTTGAATACAACTTCTTTAAGAAAATTTTGCCCTTCCCATCCATATTACTTAGAAACTTACTCACTTAGAATTGTTTTCTCCATGGTTGTAGTCAGTCCATCTACAACTTATGTGAAAAGAAATGAGAAAAGCCATCTCCTCCCATTCTTCCCCCTTTGTCTCCCATTTATGATATACAAAGCAATATCCAACGTCCCCAGTTGTAGTCAATCCATCTACAACTAATGTAAAACAAATGAGAAACCATCTACTCCCTATTCCCCCATCTACTCCCTTACCCCCCCTTGCCTCCCATTTATAGATATAGAAAACCATAATTCAACCTCCTCTAGCTCCCCCCCAAAGAACAAAGTCCATCAACCCAATCTAAATGCTAAGAAACCTTTTCAAAATCTATTTAACCACCATCCCTTCCAGCTTTTTCTTCCTACATTACTCAACTTCATTGGCCCCCAACGCAACATAAAAATATTTGTGTGCCCTTGGCAAAGGCTCATTGTGGAGTGGAGGCTTAGCACTTCTTTCTTTCAGTCTAGTAGGCAATTGAAACAAATTAGTAGCCTACAATGGATTAAATACAACCACCACCCTAAAGTTTCACAAACGGAAAGCTAGACACTAACTTTAGGAGTATTATACAAAATCACCCTTAATGTTTGAAAATTATTCAAAAACCACCCCTATTGCAGAATCTTTTAGTCTACCATTAACAAACTATGAAATATCACTTATACCCTTAATTTATATCTTAGTTAAAAACAATTAGATAAAATCCCAAAACACCCTACTAAATATCACAAACTTTGTGGTGTCTTTAATATCCCAAAAAAAAAAAAAAAAAAATTCTATTTTCCTCTCCCCCATCTTTTTCTCTTTTTTTCAAATCCCTAAATCCTCCCAACAAATGGTGACGAGGCCAACGGTGTCCATGCCAATGGTGGCCGAATAAGTAGTCCAGTGTGACCGCCGCACAACCTTATGTGACGCCCAGTATGGTTGCATCATGGCCTCATGTTGTTGCCTGCTATGGCCTCGTCACAGCCTCAAGTTACTACTGGTGATGGTCAGTGACGACCTTAAGCTACAACCAACTTGGGCCGCTCACGACCTTATGCAGCAACTACCACCACCATTGCCCACATTTCAGACAACTACCACCAACCACTTTCAAATTTTTTTTTTAATTATTTTTAATTATTTTTTTGGGTCAGATTTTGATTTGGTGTTTATACATGTGCTATGAATGTGGGTTTTTCTATGTTTTTGCCTATCATTTGGTGCCAAATAAAAGAAAGAGTTGCCTTTACTATCCAAGAAGTCAGGACTATGTTTATTCTGCCTTTGAAATCTATATTCTGCTTACATGCATGGAAGGATATTTTGGGAAATTGCTTAGGATGGAGAAGGTTTTACAGGAAATAATAGGTAATGGGGAAAGATTTAAATACCAAACCTTAAAGAAGACTACAGATGTTCAAACTATTTATCAAAGTATCTAAAAACTAGAGCACAATTTAATCACCTTCCAGTTCGACTACGTTGTTGGTTTTCCTCTTAACGATGCTTGGTTTACCACCATAGAAAAAACCAGTCAAGTCAAGTGCTTCACTTGCCGCGTGATACAACGCGAAGTGCGGGTGTAAAAAAGCGTGGGAAGGACCACCAGGGTCAATAATATTAAAACAAGCAACTAAAGTGTAAGTGAAGTATGGGACAGGTGCGAAGATTATTGGAGGAAGGGTATTTCTGTTAGTAGAAGAAATGAATAAAGGGCAGCAGAAGGAAATAGGCATCGAGAAAGAAGTGAGGAAAAGGGGAGTAGCTGGCCCTCGAAGTCCAGCATATCAGTTTCTATTACGTTCTAGCTTGGTTTCTCTTTTTTTCAGTGTATTTATTAAACCCAGTAGTTCTTATTTGAGAGATGGTCTAGAGTGGTGTAAACAGAATTATTAATGAATACTTCTCTTATGTTATTCTGGAACTCTAGAGGTTGCTATAAATTGTTGTTTGTTTCGGTTATGGCTATTGTATGTGTGAGTGATTGAGAAATCTGGGTAGGTTCGCAACAAATTGGTATCAGAGCAGGTGTGTGCGTGGGTTATGGTAACAACAAAATGGAATCTAGGCTTGAAAATGTGGACGAGAGTGTAACGAATTGGGCGTGGATTGGGGACAATTCGTGAATGCATGGTAGAGATACAGAGTTGGATGAGGAAAGGATGAAGAAGAAGCTGGGCGTGAGGAACAAAATTCATCTAAAACATGGAAATCAGGAAGGGAGAATCAAAACAGAGTAAGTGGATCAGGAGTTTGGGAAGTCAAGTGAGTTGGGAGGAAGAAAACTGGAATTACCCATTTTCATGGGTGAAGATCCTTACGGGTGGATCTTTAGAATTGAAAGGTATTTTTCTCTGAATGGAATTCCTGATGGGAAAATTAACAGCGGCGGCAGTGTGCATGGAAGGGAAGCCTTACTGGTATCAGTGGATGGAAGTCAGAGCACCTGTAACATCGTGGCCATCATTTAAACTTGCTTAATTCAGAGATTCAGCGGATCTCAAGAAGTAACCCTTATGAAACTCTAATGGCCCTAAAGCAAAACAGTACAGTCGCTGATTACAGAAGAGATTCGAAGCTGTAGCTGCTTGTTTTGGTGGAAGAGAAGGAAGAGATCCTGAACGCTGCGTTTCTGAATGGGTTAAAGGCAGAAATTCGGCTGAGCTGGGTTGATCCAGCCCATTTCTCTTCTCCAAACAAGAAGAGCCCACAGAGTAGAGGAACGTAACTGGGCTTTAGAAAACTGAAGACAGGTCCAGCAAGAGCCAATAGTGGAATGGGCCAGGATTAAATGTCGGGTCAAACCATTTGGGATCCAGGAGTTTTAACCCGATATCCACCACCCGACCCGAGATTCAATTAAAGCCCCAAATTTGACTGAATCCCTAAATCGAACTCCTTCTCAAATTCTTCCTCAAATTCATTCTCCAATTTCTCAAATCCTGGGCGAAGAAACCAGAAGGTACTGTCGTGGGTTCATCCATGAATTCCTCTCCTCGCGAATACACTTCGCACAAACTTCAGATACTTCGACAGAACCATCCACCGCGACGGGAATTTCCCTTTCGAAAGATGACGGAGGCCGAAATACAGAGGAAAAGAGAAAAAGGGTTGTGTTTCAAGTGTGATGGGAAGTATTTCTTTGGCCATAAGTGTGGTGAGAAGCAATTTCAAGTAATCCTCGTGGATGAGAAGAAGAAGAATTGGATCCAGACATGGAAACCAGTGAAGGAACGACGACAGAACAAACCCAAGGTAATGTTGAACTTTCCCTTAGCTCGGTTGTGGGAATCAATGGCCCGAAAACGATGAAGTTGAAGGGCAGTATTATGGGTCAGGAGGTTATTATCTTGATGCATGGGGCTTCCCACAATTTCATTAGCCGAGAGTTGGTTGAGAAGCTGGGTATTGCTGTAGAAAGAACACAGGCGTTTGGAGTGAGAGTTGGTGATGATATAAGTCCGATGTGAGGAGAGTGTAAAGCAGTATGTTTGGGAGTCCAGAGGGTACAAATAACTCAAGATTTTTTTCCCTTTGAAATGAGTAGTGCAGATGAGTGTTAGGCATGGCTTGGCTTGAAACATTAGGGGAAACCACAATGAATTGGAGGCAGCAGGTGATGATTTTAAATTAGGTGAGGAAACGGTGACAATTGTAGGGGATCCTGCACTTAGCAAAACAAGGTTTCCTTGAAAGCCATGATCCGAACATTGGAAGTGAGGGAAATGGTTACATGGTTGAATTTGGGCACTGCAAAAACAGTCAGACGAAGGATCAGGTCAGTATACGCTGTTTCCAGTTTTAGAAACTTTCAGATCCGTATTTGAGCCTCTACCAGATTTACCTCCTAGCAGACCCCAAGCCATGCAATTAGGTTCTGCCAGATGCCCAACCCCCAACCTTAGGCCTATAGATATCCGTTTTACCAGAAAAACAAATTGAAAAATCATTGGGGATGTGTTAGCCTCAGGACTTATTAAGCCTAGTATTAGTCCTTTTTCCAGTCCAGTGTTGTTGTTTAAGAAAAAAGATGGTGG